TATTACATAAGCTCTTGGTACCAGTTTGTGTCTAGGCATTTATATAGCTCCATCACATAGCTTTTGGGGGTCTAAATTTTACTCAAACAACAATGATGTTGTTTCCATGGTAAGTAACATCCTTCAAAGTTGAAAAGGAACAGGAAGCTTAAAGGTGAAAAACAAACACATTAAGTGGAATAAATAAAACGTGATGCAAGAGGAGCCTTCCATTTTTATAGCTTCAGTTGGGAAGCCCCGCAGAAGTAATGTGCCATTGCAAACCCGCAGCAATGAAGTGTTTATTGTACCTTACCCAATCAAACTTTGTTATCACAAACATGGGATGATTATATAAGTTATGTATGTTTTCTTAAACAAGAAGCAATGAAAAATTCAAAGCATTCTTTACTAGTACATTATTTTCTTACACCTCAGGAAACAGAAATGCTAAAACATAACTTGCTGTTGCCTTAAACAAATGGCAACAGTCTACATCTGGCATAAACTTGGGTTGTCAAACAGGGACATAGCTAATTTCCATAAGCTCCGCACAAGAAGAGCAGTCTTGTCCAAAACCCTCTACTTAGCAGCAGGAGCAGTCATTTTCCTTAAGGATCATAGGAATTCCTTCACTGGATCACACATAAGGTTTATTTAATGTAGTGTCCATCTCCAGGTACAGCTATACTGTAGTGTACTAGACAATGCTATACTACAGTGAAAAGATATCTGATTACTTTTAAATTACCTGGTTCAGTGGCTGGTAACAGTTTAGGTACAGCAGGACAGAGTTCATCATTGGTTCCAAAAATTCCCCAAGAAGTAGAGTAAATTAGACTATACCCTCCTCTGTGCTGTGCATGGGACTGCAGTATGGACATACTTTCTGAAAATAGTTATTACTACTTGCTTATGTGAAAGGTGTCAAACAAATATGGAATGACCTTCCTCCCTTCCCCCTTCATATAATATCATCCTATATCTAACAAAGATTGTTATAAACTTTGAAGCATGAAGATTAACATCCTTTCATGGTTGGCAGCCACCCCCCAAAGCTTTCTAAATGCAGAGCCATTCTTAGGAAACTCCAATTGAATTTCTTATGGAATTGAAGAATGACATTCTCTGTTATGCAAAGGACTGGTACAAAACCCATGAACCACGTAAGTGGCTATTTTATGGGCTTTATATTGGTCCTTTGCACTCAGGTGAATTTCATGGAAAGACTTCTATGAATTAAAAACAATTCCTAAAAACATAGTAAAACAAGTCATGACTGTCACCAGGGTCTATAGCAGTAATAAAATTGCCTCAGGTAATAAAAGTTTCTTCAACTGAACAGACAGACCTCTGCTTTATAATATAGCAGAATCTAAGGAATTATTTTGCCATAGGCAGAATTTACTGTTATTGCTCTCCAAAGCAGTATTTATGTAATAATCCCACTATTTTTCCATGTCTGGTCATATACATGCACATGCAAGAGAGAGGGCATACATACTTTTAAATGTCTAATTTCAGCAATGCCTTATTAGGGATTGACAGTTTTTCAAATGATGCAAAAGAATGCATTAGCAGGTCAATACAGGTACTGCATTAAATGGTTGATCCGATAAAAAAAATATATCTATTTAAGGCTGTGTACACACATTCAAATAATCTGGGAAAATTCTCCCTGGTTTGGTCTCCTGGTAGAGAAACTTACCCAGAGCCATGTCTACAGACATTTGAATACTGAGGCCCAGGAAAGCGGAGAGCTTACAGTGCTGGCACTGTTCAGCCAAAGTGGCCCCTGTGCACACATCTCAGTGTGCTCTGCAGGCTCCCTTAGTCAGCCTGGTGACAAGATAGCGGAAGTGCATAGGGCAACCCTGACTGGCCAACCCAGACTGCCCGTGGTCAGCTTTTGTTTCCCTGCAGCACAATGGGGGGATTGAGAGGGGCACGAGTAACATACTGTCTCCTGAGAGAAGGGGGGAGCGGAGGTGCTGGAGGATCAAGTTCTCGTCTGAGAGAAGCCACAGCATGTACAGATATTCACTCTCCCAAGAGAAATTCTCCTAGGAGTGATTTAACACTGGCTGTTCCCAGGTTATTTTTCTCCTGGCATGGCCATTTTTACTCTAGGAAAAAAAGCCTGAACAACCGTACACTCATGGTTTCTCCTGGGAGAGCAGCAACTCTTCCAGAAGAAACTGAATATCTGTATAAGGCCTAAGAGTATAGCTACCTAAAAAGATTTGCACTCCAAAAGGACAAGTAAAGAAAAAAATCCCCCTCAGTTTCACATGGGGCTCTTCCCCACAAAAATCAAAGCTGATTTACCTTGGCAAGAAACTGCCATTTTGGGGGGCATTAACAAGTGTTTGCTTAAAGGTGATGATTAGTGCTGTGGTGGAAATCCACAGTTTTTATTCCCTAGATTAACTTGTTTGTTAGAGAAAACAGTTAAAGTTTATCTTTGTCCAACAGTTCCAAACCCACTGACCCTGAGGTTGGATAACATGATACTCAAGGGGCGTGTCTACATGTGATGCTACGTTGATGTAGCTTGTTGCTATGGTGACATAGCATCGGTGGGCACAAACCATGATGCTGACACTACATCGCCACAGCAATGAGCTACGTCGCCATAGCTCATCCCTATGGCAATGCAGCATCCAAAAATAACCATGTGCCGCCGAGACTGTGCACTACCAAATGTACAGTCAGGGGCATGTATAGATGCACCTAAGGTTGCCTCCACCACTATGTTTCTATGATCTCATCAGAGTGTCAGTTGGGCCAATCTTATGTTTGTGCAGAGCTCTGTTTAAGTCAATGACAAATGTATTTTTTTGTGAAACAAGGTTTCTATTTTTTTTCTGCAAATACAACCATATATTAAAAAGGGAAGTATATAAAAACACAAAACTTAGCAATAATGTTATTGTTCTAACTGAAACTCACAAATGCATTAGCCAATACTAAATGTCATTATTATATCCTTGAAATTCCATGCAACTTTGCAAAGTCTGCTTCCTTAGACTTTTCCTGAAAGAAAAGGGCGGGG